AGAACCCATTGCGCTGGCAGCGCTGTCGTCGAGGATAAACTCACCCACGTGAACAGATGCCCCCGCGCGTACCACTACTTCAACAGCGCGTACCCGGACCACAGTTTCAGAGTGGAGTACTCCGACGACCCTCGCTATCCCGCAGGCGAGTACCCCGAGGGTGCATACCCGACCGACGCATACCTTGTAGCAGGGGACGAGGACTCAGAGTCAGAGCATCACGATGGCCGCGAGGACGAAACCGACTATGATGATTATGGGGGCGGTGGAGAAGCCGATGATGACGACGACTGGGACGTAAGCCGGCGCGCGGGTTCCCTCCGCGACGGCGATGAAGAGAGCGTAGACCATGACCGGTTCTGGGAGGTGGATGAGGCCGAGTCTGTGGGTCGAGAGCCCTTGGAGTCGAGCGAGGGAGAGTCGACCAAGGCTTGGGACGACTCCAAGGATATAGAGAGGGTTGCAGCTGCGTTCATGGAAACGACGACGGTCCCCGAATGTAGACGCCAAGGGGAGAATGGAGAGATCTGTCATCATCCTTGCCACGTCGGCGCTCCCCATGCTCAGCCCAACTTCACATGGCGTACGCTTTTCGCATTAGGCGCTTGTGTCGGCGTGGCATTATATGCCTGGAAGTTGGCTCTGGATCAACCCTAGCCATCCAAGTCTCTAGCCATATGAATGTCTTGTTGAGTCAAATCGACCCTGCTTTGAGGCATTTCCTTGTGCGTTGTAGAGAGGTTCATGTTTGTCAAGGCGGTCGACTTCCAGGAAGCAGGGACAAACCTCCCGATAGGCTCTCTGATGAAGAGGATATGCATGTATGTGTTGATTCACAATTCTTCAAGGCCCTTTCCCACTGCCGCCGCTCACAAAACGTCTGGCGACCCAGGCACTCCCATGTTCCAGATACTCTTCTCGCGTAACACCGTACTCCCGGACAATCCCAGGAAATCCACACGCCAGCCTTGCTCCTCCCAGCCAAGTTGACGTGATAGGTTCCGCCATTTTACGAATTCGAACCATCCATTCAGTCTTCACTCTCATGCGTAGCTCGGCTTCAAGCCTCTCTGCAAAGCCACTAATATGCGCATTGCCGCCGACGAGGAGGACGTTGCTGAGCATGGTGACCTGCAAGAGCGGGGGAAGGACACTGAGCGATTGCATCACAATATCTGCTAACCCGGGCTGTTTCGAGCCTATGTCGCCAGGGGAGAAGATGATTTCTGGGATAGAGAAGCGTTCATTTCCCAAGGTCATTGAGATTTCGGCGTCTGGCCCTGAGGAGAGGGCGGCCTGTTTGCGCTTACGTGCGGCGGCGGGGGTGGGATCATGTGGACGGCTGAACCCTCGAAGAAGATGAATGCCATCAGGGAGGATATAGTCAACTCGAATCTCCTGATTTTCCGGGGAAGCTTTGTGGTCGACGTCCATAGCCACGTCCGGATTCGAGGGCGTTGATTTCAGCTTCGTTTTGTTTCCCTTCCACGTCTTCTCCAGGTCGGTTCGGAAATCTCCGCTGACAAAACAGACATCTTCCTTGATGTCATTGACGATCTTGGTGTCTTGATGCAAATCAAAATGTCGTACAGAGATAACTTCTTTTAACAGATTCGTCAGGTGCTTGCCTCCGAAATCCAATCGGCGGACTGCTCGGTGCAACGGGCGGCCTTTGAAGAGCGGTGTGATGGTGGTATGGCTGTAGCCGCTGTCGATCACAAGCACGCATTCCATAGGTAGGTCTGCCCAAGGGTCGTTTTCTGGCTTCGTGTAGGATGCTCCTTCGAATAGCGGGTGAAGATCATTGTAGGCATTAAGTGACGGGCCTAATCTGCACATCAGCGAAGGTATCCTCAATGCGAGGTGTCTCTGGCTTAGCCATACCTACCAATGACCCTGGAATATCCCCCAAAGCCCCACTCTTCCATGATAATCTCGTCTGCATTCTTCTGGAAAGGAGGCATAGTATTAGGTGGCTCGGTGAAGATGAGGGTCGTGTCCTCGGGACTCTTCACCAACAGATCCCTCTTTGCAATCCGTTCATCGAAGAAGGACTGATCCCATATCTCTTTCTGCGCCTCCCAGCTCACGACCTGGCCGTTCTCGACGGGCCGGCGAAACAAGGCCTCGCTCCATTGTGTGATTTCTTCGGATTGCGAACCGACGTAAACTTTCCTGTCACGGCTGCGGACAATGCAGTTTGGAATGATATGGCATTTTGACAGGGCATCTGCGTCCGAAACAGGTCCTAAGGGCGCGAAACCTGCTTTGAGGCTGTGACCACCATTGTCGAGGACGAAAGTTGTGGAGGGAAGGCCGGGGGTGCTTCGAGTGGACTTGGGTGCGCGGGGCATGGCGTCTTTATGCAGCCCTCATCATTCCTTCCAGGAGATCAGGGATCTACTTGGAGAAATAATATCTATGGTGATAGCCCGGACAAACTTATCGCGTATGGTATGCAGGGTACGAGAGAGCATTCGATGGGTTGTCTGGAACGTCAATATGATTTTCTAGAAAAGTTGTCGCATCACATTTGTTCCGCGTCCGGCGAACACGCACCCAAGCATCTCTCGCCGCTTTACCAGGCAGCAAGCATCCTTGGCGAACGCTGCTCAATCAACATGTTCTTCGTTCCTTTCTCCCTTCTCCCCGCCACTTCATCCTCCACCAGTGTTGGTCGCACCGCAGGATGATCTATTTACCATGTTAGGTGTCCCGATTTGCCCGATTTGCCACGATCTTTGACTCTTCAATTGTACTGAAGATTGAAATCGGCCACTTTCAAGCCCCTCTCGAGGTCGAGAAAGGCTGGGGAAAAGGGGCAATGGACAACTACCCAGGCACTATTACGTGGTACCATCGAGAATTACCTTGTCCTGTTCGTGAGGTCCCAGTTCATGTATTCTAAATTGTGGCGCACTCAGTCCATAGACCGTGTGCGTATGTCTCAGAGGCCTCATGCGTCATTCATGCCGTCTCCCGTTGCAGGGTAAAGAGAAAAACTGCAGCACGTGCTGGTGCACCATCTATTAGCTCTGAACATGTTTCATACATCTATGTACATGGCCTTCCGAAAATTCTATAGACAGGAAGAGATAGTCAAATCACTTGAAACTCGTCCGTGTGACTTCACTGGCTTTGGATTCGCTGACTTCGGGTTTCAGATCCTCTGTAATATTTCTCTCGTCCTTCCAGGCAAGGGCGACGAATTTGGTGTGGCTTCCTCGAGCCACGATCTCGTTATTCTTGTTCATGAACTTGACGGAAGTGTATGCGAGGGTTTTGCCGACTAGACGAGGTCAGCACAAACTTCAACTATGGGAGGAGAAAGAGCGCATATCTCACATTTGTCGCAGATGACCTCGCCTTTGACCAAATCACCAATCTTACCCCCTGCATTGAGGTAGGTCACGCTGAGATCTGTTGAAACTCCTGTCGAGTACAGGCCACGAGATGCCAGAGCAAGTGAGCCACTAGTATCGACCATGGTGGCCAGAGTGGCGCCGTGGAGTATTCCTAAGCGGTTCGTGTGCTGCTTCTCAATGGGTAGTTCGAAATTGACCTTGCCAGGTTCCGCAGCTGTTATCCGCATCTGAACGACACAATTGAGTCAAAGACCAAGTCCACTTGCGGTAAGCTCATCAAGACGTGGTATGGTGACTTGGTCCGACTTTGCCAATTGGTGATACTTACGCCGTCGATCAACCTGTTGTTCTTCCAGCTTAACGAGAGTACTTTGGATCATGGATGAAGAGAATTACCGTGGCTCGACCCCCGATGTTGCTCTAAAGGATTCCCATACCTATAAGGCGTTAGCTCTATGTCGCTCTCTAAGCTCATAGATTGCTGGGAACTCACTGAGCGGACGAACTTTAGTGCCGACATCGTATCGCTGGCAAGCTTCTGAGACCGCCACTCGTACTGCCAATTCAATACTGGACCCAACGGAGCACCCGGAGCACTGAAAATACGGAGTGAGATCGGACTGAAGGTTGATAGTGGCCAAATTCTAATAGCGTAAAGATATCAACCAACTTGTTAGGCCGAGATCCAATGAAGTCAAAATCAGATGGTGAAGGAAATTACATTTGATAGGCTGTTTGATTCACCGCAGCAAGACGCAAAAATGATCCACCGTATCAACTGCTCTCAGATGAAATGGCGCACACCTCGAAATAATCATCTTCCCGTACACTTCCTCTTCCTTAGGTTTCGCTTTGTCGGTTTATCTGGTCACTGTTGATGCTATTTTCACCCTTGTTCCAAGATGGAGACACACCACCTTTGAAGTTTTAACCTCTCTGGGGCCACTGACACGGAACAGTGAATACGAGTCGAGGTTAGCGCAGATTCTGCAACCCACCAGTTGGCGTAAGACGACCACCAGTGAAGAGCTGAGTTCGGACCCTTTCCTCCGTCAACCATTGCTTGTTTCGTCCAAGACCAAAAATGGGGTTTGCAGGCTAATATCCGGCGCCCTTTGTTAGGAGACTCTTGCTTTTCTTGCTAAACTCCGGCCGAGTCCATGACGCTGTCTTTCCTTCTCGTTACCATGCTGCCGGCAGCCTGTTGTCGAACTGCTCAGGGAGCACGCGACAAACAATTAGCACTTCACCAATCTCCCTGGTGGGATCAACCTTTGTTGAACCGGGCTCACAAGAATTTTTTAGCATCATATTCACAGCACTATTAAACCTTCAATGCCCAGGACGACCAAATACAGTCAAGGCCGCGTGCCAACTACTCCCGTTGACAATGCCACTGTTCGCAAGCGAAGGGCTCACAAGAAGTCTCGGCTAGGCTGTCGCAATTGTAAAATCCGCAGAGTCAAATGCAACGAGGTCCGACCAATGTGTGGAAAGTGTCTGGAATACGGCGTGTTATGCAATTACGATCCTAGTATACCTGATCTCCAGCCTCGAACCCCCGCTTCTGAACTTGGCTATCTGCAATCAAGGGTGGAAAGGTCGCCTTTGGGAACGACTAAACCTATCTTAGACATGATCACTATCTCCTTGGACAAAAGCACTTCTGAACTGGAGTCGCAGAGTGGAGCTACGCGATTCGACAAATCTGATCTGGCACGACTTGACAGATTCCAAACTAGGACAGTTCTCAGCATTGGTACAAAGAGAGCTGCCCGGGTTTTCCAGAGGGAAATCATCCCACTCGCCTGTGCGAACCCCTTGCTCATGCATTTGGCCCAGGCAGTGACCGAGTCCCACGATCGTTACTTGTGTGGAGTGGCCACATCAAGACCCAGCACAACCGAAGCCTACCACTTGAACAAAGCCTTGATTTCCTTCCAGAGCATTCTCTCCCGCCCCATCAGACGTGACGAAGGGGATGCGTTGCTACTCGCCTCATCCCTCCTTGGGGTTGTGAGCTTTTTCAACCTCGAGGCGTCGTCCGTCGAAGATGTCTGGCCGTTGCAGGATACTGACATGGCTTGGCTCAACTTGAGCGACGGAAAACAAACCATCTGGCGATTGGCCAGCCCTTTGAAGGTCGACAGCCTTTGGCGACAGGTTGGCATTGCATTCGATCACGACAAGCTGCCTGAAAATCAAATACCCGACCACAGCCCTTCGATATTTGATCATCTCTGTGCCGAAGATGCTGAGTCGTCATCAGCTCGGGTCAATCCATACTACAGGACTGCAACACGGCTCCTACCCTTATTGGACCTCGAATGCGATGACTCCACCTGGCTGCGGTACGTTGGATTTGTCAACCAGATAGATCCACTCTACAAGTCACTCCTTGTGCGAAAAGATCCTTGGGCGTTGCTTATACTTGTGTATTGGTACATGAAGGTGTGCAGAGGTTCTTGGTGGATTTCGTCTCGATCTATCCTTCAAGGGCAGGCAATTTGCCTGTATCTTGCACGATACCATTCGGATGATCCAACTATACTCTCAGCTTTGGAGAAGCCAAGGATGGAATTCAATGCTGCACAAATGGAAGGATGGGGAGGTATATCTTCTGTGATCAGCAGTCCAGGATGGCCTTAGCTTTTAGAAAGTCCCATGGTGGAGTCATTGGGCGTCGACACATGTCTCTACCATTCAAAATAGTGCTGAAATTAACAACATGTTATTGGGAGCCTTGATATCATCTCTACTTAATAGAGGTTGTTTCGTGCCAAAATGGGTCGTAGTCGCTCCATCACAGCCTTTTCAGGACATTTACAAAGGCAGCGAGATATTTGTACAAAAGAAGACATGATCCTCTTGGCATTTTTGACTCAATTTGAGCCTTGTTTGCCTTGAATGAGGCTCTATCACCATCTATTCCCCTTGGACTTCCCATCACTGTCGCCTCGGAGTGTGTGCATCAGCGGAACGAGATGACGGATAGGTGAATATGGTAACGGGGAGCTAAGCGTGTGCGTCTCCGACTTTCTATTGATTTGGCCTAGTGGTCATGGCGGACGCAACACTTCAATCATGGGAGTACCTCGAGACACTCCCAGGGACTCAATTCTACCGTCTCTACAGGAGTCCAGCCTCTGCTCTGGCGATATTTCGAAAGCGACTGTCAGCACTGGCGAAGTCCTTTGTCTTGATGCTGTTGTACATGCCCCGACCTCTGCCAGTCAAACAACTGGAACAGTTTGTCAAGGACACCAGCCGGGGTGAACGTGAGCACGCTTTGGATTTACTTCACCGTTACCACATATTTCGTGATGTCACTCTTAACTCGACAAAAGCGTATGCGTTGACTCCGGACTTTGCTAAATCTCTTCGTCGCGCTTTGACGGGAGCAGGAGACACCCGGTCTTTTGGGCAGGTCGCTCGAGTCCCCGAGGGTCGTAAGGTCACGATATCGCAACTGGATGAGTATTCTCGCCAGCGATGGGAAGGCATATTGGGCTACATGGTCGGTTCTTCTTCCATACCTCTTGAGACGGCAAATGAGCAGCCAGCGATTGAACCCGCGCCAGGAGTTATTGAGCTTTTGAAGGCTGGTCATCTCATCGAGGTCAGCGGGGCGTACAGCCATGGCCAAAGAGCCAGGATCACGAAGGAAGGCTTTGCGTTTGTCCTGCAAGATATCAATACCCAGGTATGGGCATTGCTTTTTCTCTACGTGGATAACGCCGAGGTCTTTGACATGGACAAAGTCGATGTCCTGTCGTTTCTTTTTCTTGTCTCGTCCCTAGAATTAGGGCTGGCATACTCGACCTCTACTCTGGACGAAACCCAGCGGCGCTGCCTGTCGGACCTGGTTTCTCTTGGACTCGTCTACCAACCTCTATCAGACGACGGCATTAACCCTGCCAACCACTTCTACCCAACGCGTCTAGCAACCACCCTAACGTCCGACTCGGCCTCGGCTCTGTCGACAACCAACCTGACCATCGGTACGTCTCTCTCACAGAAATACTCCTCCTCATCAGGCACCACCACACCTTCCGGTACCGTCACACAAAAGGGCTTTATCATTGTCGAAACGAACTACCGCGTCTATGCCTACACCTCGTCTCCCTTACAGATTGCCCTTCTCTCGCTATTCGTCAACCTGCGTTCCCGCCACCCCAATCTCGTGACAGGGAAAATGAGCAAGGCTTCGGTCCAACGAGCCGTCCAGGCGGGCATCACAGCTGATCAGATCATTTCGTATCTTACAACCCATGCGCACCCCCAAATGAGGAGGCACGCGCAGGCAGAGCAAGCCGCTTTGCTGGCGAGGGGCACCACTACCGAGTCGCAGGTACAGAGAACGGTGCCGATCCTGCCTGCAACGATATTGGATCAGATCCACCTGTGGCAGCTGGAAAGAGACCGCATGACCACCACCCCAGGGTTTCTCTTTCGGGATTTCTCCACGCGGGCAGAATACGAAGCCAATTGTCGGTACGCGGACGAGACTGGTGTGCTGGTGTGGAAGGACGACGCGAAGCGGCTGTTCTTTGTAACGCGGCTAGAGGGCGTGCGGGCGTTTATGGCGGAGAGGAGAGCGACTGGGTCGGGTGGTGGAACACAAGGTTGAGCGCTACGGAACTGGCGAGGAAGGCTGGGATATTCGCACAGCCCATTTCGAGGCTGGCATAAGGACACCGCGACGACCACATGTTCCAAAGCACCTACCACTCACGGCTTGAACGGACCAGGTGGCCTGGATGCATTTAGCGTCGATTCTGCGAGCTAGCGGACGTGTTTGCTGGTCGATGGAGAAACACGAGATCATAGCAATGGGTAAGGAGGGACCTTTGGTTCTGCTTTGCTGGATACTGAGCATCGCCTTCCTTCTCGCTTGACTCTTTTGACATACCAATGTCCAATGGGATAGGCCATTGGACGTTTGTAACAATATCAGTGTTCTTGACTTGTGCTGTCTACCCACCTATCTACAGGAATCCGACCGTCCCGACCACCCCTCTGTCCTTCCGTGACTTTCTGTTCGCCATGGCCGGCCGAAGAGAAGCGTGGTATTTGTGATTTGTGCCTCCTCTTGCGGTTTGTTTCGCCTCTCTTGTCCTGTGCTGTCGTGTCTTGGCTTGTCACCAAGCGAGAGGAGGGAGGAAGGAAAAGGGCGTGGGTGGAGTGCAAAGTCAGTGGTCGACAAAATCCAGACACTCGGTTATCTCATCTATCTAGCCAGGCGACAAGGCAGAGAGGGTCAAATAGGGGGCATGATCCGAGGGTGCTGTTGTCGTCCTCCTCCCCGAAGACGAATGTGAAAGGGAGCAGCTCCGTAAACTTTCGCTGCGAGAACAAAGACACATTCGAATTCACCAAATCACATGCTTCGCTTCGCATCAATCGTCGCAGGGCCGAGAGATTGTTCGGAATGGTCTCGATTCACCTAGTTAGCTAGACTTCACAATGACCAGCCTGAATCAAAGACAGCCATGAGGGCTTCATCTTCCGCCAGCTCACAAGTCCAGGGTATCGGGCGTCAACAAAGACGAGTCCTCTCGTATTCGATCAAAGTGCCAGGAAAGTTGCTCGATGTGGAAACGGTTGCATCCAGTCATACCATGTTGGTGCAGGCCAGGTCAGGATGCACAGCCCAAAACTCCTTTCGTTATCGCTTCAGTAGCATTTGAGAGCCGCGCTCGACTGCATCCACTCGACTCTCCCCTCTCTTCCAGCTAGGCGCTCACCCTGCTGTGTCCCGTCCCCTCCCCGGCTCCAGGTCTGTTCGGTTCGACGACGTGACAGCGACAGCTCCCTCAATTCCCGCCACAGAACACAGTCTTGCATCGTTCCATCCTTGATCACGAGAGAAACACCCCACATTGCCAGAGAAAGGGCAAGAAACTTGCTGTTTTCCAGTCTTCGGGCTTCAGCCAGAGCACACCACCTCCACTCATCTCGAATCAAAGAAGGTTCGGGCTTTAGAAGGTCGCCGATGTCATGGGGGCCTTGCCCTTTAAGTACCTTGAACACGTCCCAGGTAGAGTAAGCACGGAGAAGGTAGGAAGACCGTCCAGAAACAGACAAGGACAACTAGAAGTCGAAGCCGCATGATCCACTTTCCACAACAAGCGAACGAGATGCCACAGAAGGTAAAGGCATCGCGAAACGGAGCATCACCTCGGCCGTATGCCTCGCCATCCGGCCGCAATTGACCATTGAGGACGATCACCCGTCTGCCCTGGTTCAGGCAAATATGAGACAAGGATAAGCGGAGGTGAGCGTAAGCGCTTAGGCCACGTGGTGGAATACGAGGATGGCTTCCGCAAGATTCGGTTGGTATCGGCCTCTAAATGGTACACAATATCGTCAACAATCTGGGGAACAAAGGAGGTCAAAAGCTGTTCGGGTAGAATCTCGAGTCGATGGGTAAGAGACTGTGCCTTGTTGTCGCAGTTCTGCCGCTTCCCATGTTGCTTGCCGTGCATACTCGAGAATCCGCACGCAGGCTTATTGTTTTTGGCTCAGACGTTCGCAAGGCTGTCGTGAAGCACCCGCAGAGTAGACAAGCAACTGAAAGGTCAGCAACAATGAGTCGGAGCCCTGTCAGCCACCCACAGCCTCCATTCTTTCCCTCGACGCCTTGCATATAGTACATCCCCCAATGTTCTGTATCTTATCTTTCAGTAAACGTGCATTTGTGACCTTTGGTCCCACTGATCTGGAAAACCTGGTTTCTTCAGCCTCGCCATCATCCGGACGAATCCTATTCTGAGGTAGTAGCACCTCATCTCCTTCTGCCTCGGGACCATGTAGCAGATGTGAGACGTGATAGACATGCCCACAAGCGAACCCGACCAAGGTTTCGGTTTCATTTTCATGCAACGCTTTATGACACGACGAACAGTGTCCTGGTTTCACCTCCGGTTCTGGTTCGGCCTCAAGTTTTGTTTCCTCTGCCAGCTGATCCTTGGAGCCAGCAACGTCCTGGGCAGTCGGCCGTTGGTGTTTCACACTTGGAGCGACAATGTCGAACCTGATACCTTTCCTTCGACCTCTTCTCAGCGTCTCCATGCCAACGGCAACCTCACTGCTGAGTACTCGCGCGACCCCAGCGCTGATACTGTCTTGTAAATCATACTCTCGAATCATCTTCTTCAGCCCATCTTTTAGGCCTTCCACTTCCAGTCCAGAAGGTATTCTCTTCACCAAGGTAATAGGGTCAATGGCAGTCCCAACCTCTGCCAGGAGACCTGAAATGAATCTCGGTCGTGACATGCTGTATTCGAGAAAATCGTCCCAGAGGCTCTGGTCATCTTGCTCCTTGGCGAAAGCGATAGCCTTTGAGACATCCTTCAATTCATCAATGATCAGAAACAGTGCCTTTTTGGTCTGTCCCGTCTTGCTCAAGAGATAAACAAGTTCCTCGACGTAATGCTTCCTTTCGCATATCTTGACAGCGTTTTCGAAAGTGTAAGCGGTGGACGCTTGCAAGAATTCCATGAGCAGATCTCGATCGAATTCTGCAAACAACTCGACAGCGACATCCGCGAATTGTTCAACGTGCTGCTTCCCTGTGTCGGCCGCAAGCGACGTATTCATGGCTGAATGGCCGACCCGGGGTAGCGCAGGAGCTTCCTGAGTTCCCTCGCCGCGCCACAAAGCGCGAAGGTAGAAGTAGAGGAACGGCTTCAGTGACGGCTTATCAAGTTGCGCAACAACTTCGTCGGGCTCAACCACTCCAGCTGTAGCTTCGTCCACGAGGACCTTAATTGGGTCTGCAGCGAGTTCGTCCAGTTCCTCGCGAGTTGCACTCTTCAATTGATCGGGTGAAACTCGCAGCATGACAAAACTGGGAATGTCGTCGGCAATGGCGTCAACGAGATGGTGTTCCTTGATCAATGACATGGCCGTGTCAGCATCCTGCAGGGCGATGTAGCATCTCAGAGCTTCGTCATAGTGTCCATCTGCCAGGAACAATTTCCCCAGGCTTTCCTGCAAGAGCCTCCAGTCCTGTGACCCCTTTGATACGGTACCAGAGCGCAACTGATCTTCGACCGCTGCTGTGATGCTGCTGATCTCAAAAAGATCCGAAGGCCACTCATCAAGAAGCTCCTTAAACCGCAATCTGTCAACCTCCGCGTAGTGACCAAGGATGATTTCGAAGATGGAGGATGGCAAAGGGGGTGTCAGTTCCAACGTCGGTACGTGAGGCGATATCTCGTCAAACTTCGCGTTTTTGACGAACATCCACACCCAATGCTCCCAGCGACTCGTCGTATTCAATACTTTTGCAGCGACCTCGCCAGCTTCAGACCATCTATTGGCATCAATGAGCTGCTTCAGCCACAACTCGCCTATTCTTCGTTTCTCCTTTTCTGCCGCAGAGAATTTATTCTTCGATTTGGCTTGCGCTGAACTCGTGACTGAAACAGAATCCGAGAAAAATTCGGCCAAGGTAGCCTGCTGACGAGCCTGCGTGGGGCTGAGGGAAGTCGCAGTGCCTGATCTTGCGAGAGAACTAGCTTTCGATGGACTTGGTGGTGTTGAAGTTCCAGAAGCTTCAGAGAGGGTGCCCGCTGCTTCGGGATGCTGATCAACCAGTTCCCACGCTTGTTGGTATTTCTTGAGGCTCACGAACCACTGCAGACGGTCGTTGAGATTGCGTCGGACCGCGACAATGCAGTCATAGGGGCTGTAGATGAAGATCTTCATGCTTTGTGCTGTGGCCATGGTATTGATCTCCTCTTTGGCACTCGTCTCACTAGATCCAAACCCCGGAATCCAGCCTGTGAGATAGTTGCGTTCTCTGGTGCTTCCTGTCCGATCAGGGCCGCTGACACCACTTCGAATACTCTCGCCTGAACTGAAAATTCGATTTGCGCCCAAAAGCCGAGGCCCGTACATGGTGGCATCCCACATACCTTGACCAACGGATTCGACGCCTGTAGCCAGACTTGTACCCACCGTGCTCATACCAGATCCAATGGTGCTGAGGTACCCCTTTTGGAGAAGTGCAGCTGGGATGCGAACTGGAGGCAGAACGCCCAAGTGATAGTCTGAAGCCGAAAGAGTCTCAAATCTGCTCATAGTGAGAGTGTCGGTGTCGACTTCTTCCTTTGTATCGATATTGACCAAACGCAACTCTGGTTCCAATGCATTATGTCGTGCTCGTCGGCCTCTCCTGCTACCTCCACTGTCTTGCAATGCTGAGCCATTGCCCGTCTTTTTTTCCATGAATGCAAGCACCAAAAGCAGACTTGGGGTATATAACGAAATTCCAGATATTGTACAGTCATCAAATCGTATACTGTTCGGTGGTCAGTAGGTGCATCTTGCCGAAAAGACGTAGAACTCACATCGTAGCGACTTCAGCGCGTCCAATTTTATTATTACCTCCGCTTTCCACAGAGCCTGGGTAGACCTTGATGATCCATGCTGAATCTCCCCACCCTACTAAAACTTCTTCAACCTTTGCTTTTTTTGGATCGGGCTTGGGAGATGCACCGTTCGCAGGAGCAGGGACGAGGGTGCTAACGGGGGAGTCGTCGTCGGTATCGAGATTGTCGCGGTCGATCCACTCTGCACGAGCTTTCCATACACCCGCCATATCCTCCCAGCCGGGACGGT